ATTATAGTTCCCCTTTCTGTGCAAGTCGAGTCTATCTCCTGGGCCACCAGTCACCCCAGCCCAAACCAGATGTCCAGAAGCCACTGTCCAGTTCCAGGCCAGCTGCAGTTTTGTTAAATGCCTATCACGCTTTAGTTTACCTATGTGGCCCATGACAACAAGTCTACCAATACTTCAGAATCATAATATTGGAACATGACTAAACAGTCTATATTGAAAGCCTTTAAAACATGGTCATAATAATTAAAGTTCTTTTCATTTTATTATCAAGCAAAATTTTAAAAGCTAATATTAAAAGCTTCATTTACTTTACATGGGAAACAAATGCTCACAATGAAATATATTAGTTCCCTACAGAATGAATCATAAGTAATTACATAGGAATAGCTCATGGAAATCGACTGCCACAATTTATCGGATATATAGAGATTGAAAACAAACTTTGGAAAACAGCCCTTTAAACATAATTATTCCATTTTGAAAAGAATCAGGTGTTCCTTATTTAGGTATAATATATGCAACTGATGACATTAATGTAGTTTTATTCACACTTGCCAATAAATAGCAATATTCCAAAAACTAGAGCTGAATTTCTAAGACTGAATCATTCACCATAATCAATCATTTGTTGCTTTTCCCACTTCCCTCTTTTACTTATTAAAAAAAAAAAAAAAAAAAAAAAAAAAAAAAATCACCAGCCAATATGGATGCCTCATGGAAAGGGATTATGTTTTATGGTTTATTCACAATGTAGATTCTCCACTATTTTCCAGAGAAGAAATGAACTGAGGTAATAATGGCTCAATATTATGAACACTCTTAACTTTATTAAAGTCTTTAAAATGAAAATGCTGTGATCCAACAGACTGCATTATCTACTGCTTGAATCTTAGAACTTACTTCTGCATAGAAATCATGCCACATATGGCTGGATAACCAGGCCAGCCCCCGGGAACCCCAAAGGCAAGGAGCACTGCTAAACATCACCACCAGGGGGAACACTTTCATATGCAAATACACCCAGGCAGCTAGCGGAAACCGGTTCCCATATTTACAAAGAAAGCAGGTTCCTCCTCCCTGTCAGTGCTTACGAAAATCCCATCACCAGAACAGCGGTGGGGACTCGGATGCAAACATGGTGCAGGGGAAGGCAGAGAAGAGACAGGGACTGGGCCATACGTGCAAACCACTGGGCAGCTCCCTGTTCGGGCGGGCATCTCTGCATGTTATCTTTACACTGTTGGTCCTGCCCAGAGTTTCTCTCACACCCTGCAAGACAGAAGGCACTTCCATAGCCTTTCTCCTTCCTTCTTGGTGCTAAGGGGCAAAATGCCCTTGTTAGACTTTACCTCCACCCCATGCCTCATTTACAATCTGTAATAAAAGGAAGAGACAAAGGAGCAAAAGGGCTCTTCTCCCCTGTGACTCCCATCACTGCCACATTCCAGCTCCCATCATTCACTAAGCCCTTACACACAGGGCACCTTGCCAGATAGGGGACACGAAGATGAGGAAGAGGAGACCCTGCCCTCATAGAGCTCCATCAAACAAGAGACAGATCAAATCCACATGAAAAGAGCAGGCAGGAACTACTCTAAGAGGCTAGCACAGCGGCTAAGAGCGCAGGCTGGAGTCTTGCTGCTCCACTTACTAGTTGTGTGGCAGGGCAAGACATTTCACTTCTCTAAGTCTCCATACCTTCATCAATAATGGGATAGTAATAATTGTGCCCAACAGGGTTACTGTAAGGATTAAAGAAAATAAAAGCTCTCAGTATAATGCTTGACATAGAGCAAGCATTTACTAAATTATTGTTATGAATTATTCAGATCATTGTTACAAAAGACATAGAAAAAAACAGAACTTTCAGAGTGGTATTGAGGACTAAACAAACTGTATGCTTGGTGGTGTCTACAGGGGCTGTATTTTAAACTCAGTCTTGAAGAATGACTAAGAGTCTGTGAGAGAAGGGAAGGAAGGACATTTTACCAAAGGCCTGGGCTGGGAGCATTCACATGATAAGGAAAGACTTCTTCCTGGAGTCAGACTGCAAGGCCACTGGGCTTGGGCAGCTAAGTCCAGAGAAGGACCTGAGGAGTCTACCCTTAATTCTGTACCCAGGACGGGGCGGGTGAGAGGCACATACTCAGATTTGTTCCTGACATGTAACTTCAACAGCAGTGCTACATATTTTGCTTATCTATCCAGAAGACTGACTGCATACAGGTGAGATAGGGCATGGGGGGGGCCAAGTGGGAGGCAGCTCCAGGAGGCGCCTCCAGAAATGGTGCAAGGACAAGAGGACAGCTTAAAGAAAGGTTGTGGGAATTGAACGAAACATTTCAGGTCTCAGCTTAGATGTCACTTGGCTGGGTAGCCTTTCCTATCTTGGCAGTTCTGGGTGAGGTACCATTTTCCTAAGGGATCTTACAGCACCAGCACCAAGACATCTCGAATCAGAGCTCTTAACACTTGTATCTACAGATTAGTTGAACAAATTAATTAGGGCCAATAGTGAGCCAGGCCCTTGCTTGGCACGGGGAGTATAGCACTGAAGGCAGGGAAGAATGTCTGTCCTCATGCACTGCTGTAGAGCTTACCTGCTGGCAGGGGATATAGGCAAACAAGCAAACAAACAAATATAGAAATTCACATGGTGCTAAGTGCTATAAAGAACAAAACAAAGTTAGAGGGCAAAGAGACAGATCGTAGTGGAAGGGGAGTACCATAGGACAATCAGGGACAGCCTCTGAAGAGGGTCATATCTGATCAGACAGCAAATAGCAGGCTGCAATGAGGGAGCAAGGCAGGTGGAGACCTGGGAAAACAGCAAGGACAGTGTCCCCTAGGGTGAGGCACATCTGTAGCCTAGCCAGGATACCACTGTGGCTGGAACAGAGCAAGCAAGGAGGAGGATAAAAAACACAAGGTTGGAACCAGGCAAGCACCACACTGTGTATGGTTTCGTACTTTTATTAGAAGTAAAATGGGGCCAGGCATGGTGGCTCACCTGTCTAGCACTTTGGGAGGCCGGGGCAGGAGGATCCCTCAAGTCCAGAAGTTTGAGACCAGTCTGGACAACATAAGGAGATCCCGCCTCTATAAAAAATATCGAAAAATTAACCAGGTATGGTGGTACACAACCATCTACTCAGGAGGCTGAGGTGGGAGGATCACCTGAGCCCAGGAAGGTTGAGAGGCTGCTGTGAGCCATGATCATGTCACTGTGCTCAGCCTGGGTGACAGAGCTGTCTCAAACACAAACTAAAAAAATTACTTAAAAAAAGAAGTGGAATGCCAAAGGACGGTTAAGAAGAGTGACAGGATCTGGGCTGGGTGCTGTGGCTCATGCCTGTAATCCCAGCACTTTGGGAGGCCAAGGTGGGTAGATCACGAGGTCAGGAGATTGAGACCATCCTGGCCAACATGGTGAAACCCCATCTCTACTAAAAATACAAAAAATTAGCTGGGTGTGGTGGCGTGCACCTGTAGTCCCAGCTACTCAGGAGGCTGAGGCAGGAGAATCACTTGAACCCGGGAGGCAGAGGTTGCAGTCAGCCAAGATCATGCCATTGCACTCCAGCCTGGGCAACAGAGCAAGACTCTATCTACAAAAACAAAAACAAAAACAAAAAACAGTGACAGGATCTGATTCAGGTTAAACTGAGATCATTCTGGTTGACATATGGAAAATAAGCTATAGGCAGCGAAGGCACAGAAACAGGAAAGTCAGAAGGCTACCATAATATTCTGATGAGAAGCAGTGGCAGCTAGCACCAAGCTGCTAGCACGAGTGGTAAAAATGGTCAGGTTTCATACCACATCCAATTCATCAGCAAGTTCTGCCAGCTGTACCTTCAGAATACACAGGCAGTAGTATATATTCACCACAACTTTCAGAGTGGTATTGAGGACTAAGCAAACTAAACGCTTGCGGTAGGATGCAGGAGTCAAGAGCTCAGGGAGGGCCGGGCACGGCGGCTCACATCTGTAATCCCAGCACTTTGGGAGGCCGAGGCAGGCAGATCACCTGAGGTCAGGAGTTCAAGACCAGCCTGGCCAACATGGAGAAACCCTGTCTCTACTGAAAATACAAAATTAGCGGTGTGTGGTGGCACATGCCTGTAATCCCAGCTACTCGGGAGGCTGAGGCAGGAGAATCGCTTGAACCGGGAGCTCAGTGGGAGGACAGGCCAGGAGAAGCCCCCTAGAGGAGCGGATTTGGAGAAAAGGCCTCAGGACCAAACCAGCGAACATGACTGAGAAGAACAGTCTAGAAAGAGGAAGCCTAGCAGCAGGTGGTGTCCTGGCAGCCAAAGAAGAGCAGGATTCAGGAAGGATGGAATGAGCTGTCGGAGGATCAGTACTGCAGAGGGGTCAAGTGAAAGAACTCGTAAAATGATCACTGGACGAAAGTCACCTGACCACAACAAGCAGTGTCAGTAATGTGGAAGCTTAGGGGAAACAGGATGGAACGAAGGAAATAAACAAGCATACACAGCTCTCTTGAGGAAACCTGCTATTAAGGAAAGCACAGATACGGTGCAGAGGCTGGAGGGGAATAGAGATGAAGGACAATATTTTACATGTGCAATATCACCGTGTGCTTTATTGATCCGGCAGACAGTGAAAAACCCATGTAGGCTAAGAAAAATGCACACCAGGAAGGAGGGGCACAAATTCTTCAGGTGGCTGGAAAAGCTGAATAATCTTTAATGATTCAAAATGCTGATCAGAGGATTGATTTAAACAAATAAAGGATATTATTCCCTTTTTACCTTTCAAGAATTAGAACAGTTCTCGTAACTAGTTGAAATAAATCTTAGAGGCATACAATGTAGTTATTAGAAGTTGGTCCAAAGCTAAAATGAGGAAAATAGCTACAGGATCAAAAAAAGATATCAATTGATAAAATGTCTTTCTTGATGATACAGTATACCCAAGATTACAATTTCTAAATTCATTATTTTTGATAATTTCCACGAGCAGGACATACTTACAGGTTACACTGGTTTAGTCTGTAAAACTTGTGTCGCGCAACACAGAGTCTCCAAATGTATTTTGCAGTTTCCATGTCTTCCTAGCAAACAAAATAGGCATAAAGCAGTATGAAAGCACACACACAACTTGATACGTTTAATGCACAGTTTGTCTAAATACATAATGGGTGACATCATATGACAAAGTCACTTTCAGGACACTATAAGCCTTTCATTTTCCAACACTGCGCCCATGGTATGAATATCACAAGTGGGATTTAACTTATGAAGACAAAACAATCTGTTCTAACAGTGTGATTCTCATATTAGACAGCTTCAAAATGACATGGGAATCTAAAAACTATAAAAATGTCAAGTTTTATTCTTGCCAAATATACTCAGACATTTTTAAACAAAAATATGACTCAGTAACTCAATATTGCCTTTGTCAAGAGAGCAAAAGCAAATAACTATTAAATAACATTTCTTCAGAGCTATTCATTTATCCATGAAATTTAAGATATCAGTGCTTACTTTCTCCCCCACTTAACCCCTGAGGTTTAATTTAAAGGTTATCATGATCAGACAGTAGTTATCCAAAGACTCATTTATTCAGCATTTACTGAGCAGCCATTTTTTGCCAACTGCCATTTTGTAAAATGCTATATGATAAAACTGCATGTTTTCTACAATTACAAAATATTATAATTTTAATGCTGCCCTGCCTCCAAATACATACAAGCATGCAGAAGTAGAACTTGTTAACTTTTAGGAAAAACATTCCATGCAGACCCCTAATGTTTACTCACAGTTTGAAATTGGATGGTCTCCTCTTTATTTGCCAGTTCTAATGCAAAAAAGGACTTGTTGTGGGACATGTTGGCAATGTCATGCCACCTAAAGAACAGCAAATAGAGAATGGCAATGTGAGTGCCTGTGGGCGAAACAAGGAGATAGAATATACAAGTATTCCCTAAGCCTGACGTATAAGTTAGTATTTGGTGACATTTTTGAGAAAAACAAAAAACAAAAAACACGAGACCAGCCTGGCCAACATGGTGAAACCCTGTCTCTACTAAGAATATAAAAAAGTTAGCTGGGTGTGGTGGTGGGCACCTGCAATCCCGGCTACTTGGGAGGCTGAGGCAGGAGAATTGCTTGAACCCAGGAGGCGGAGGTTGCAGTGAGTTGAGACAGCACCATTGCACTCCAGCCTAGGCAACAGAAACGAAACTCCGTCTTAAAAAAAAAAAAATTACAAAAACTAGGCCAGGCAAGGTGGCAAGCACCTGTAATCCCAGCTACTCAGGAGGCTGAGGCAGAAGAATCGTCTGAACCCAGGAGGCAGAGGTTGCAGTGAGCCAAGATCGCGCCATTGCATGCCAGCCTGGGCAACAGAGCGAGACTCCGTCTCAAAAAAAAAAAAAAAAAAAACAAAAAACAAAAAACCAGTGGTTTTAATCAGCTAGCATGAATGTTCTAATTGAAGTGACAGCAGCTAGTTGTAAAAAGTAAACTCATGTATACTAAATGAGGGAAAAGAGAATTTAAAAGATGTAAAATGTATCATTCTCATGTGTCAGATGTGCTTGATGGAAGATCCCCTGTCTTAGCTGATTGCCAATGCCTCATTTACTCATTCAACAAAATAAAAGACACCTATTATAACAATGCCAGAAACTGCAGTCGGTCCTAGGAACACTAAGATTAGTGAAGTACAGTGCTTCCCTCAAAAGAGCACAGGTGGAGGGGAAAGGTGGGAGAAAGAACACAGAAGCCAACAAGAACCTTTAAGTGCTGCAGGTATTAAAATAAGGCACAAAAGTTGGGCAGGTGTGCTCTGAAAAGCTTCAGGGTGAAGATAAATTTGAAATGCCAGGAACTCAAAGAGTGAACTATTCTGGAAGTGATCACTATGATTCAAAATCTCATACTTTCTAATTTTATCACATTAGCTTTTATATGTTAATATTTGATTTTATTACATAATCACAGAATGTCATAAAAAGAAAAAATTATGGAAGAAAAAATTTTATCCTTCTCCATTAGATTTATTTTAAATGTATTAAAATAAAATCAACTTAGTAGTGATTCACTGTTTGTTAAATCTAAAGATTATTAGCATCACATTAAGGCAACTGTGAAAATTCCCATCCAGTGATAAAGGAAGCCAGGCAGATGCCTCAAGTTTCCATGTGACACTTTGGGCACCATCAGAGCCCTGCCCTTCAGGTGAAGCCACGGATCTATTTTCCTCTCCTCTCCCTGACCCGCAACTCAGCATGTTGGGAAGGGTTAATATAAGTGGCTTGGGGACAAGAGGGCAACTGCCAAAGGGGAGCCACCCAGGCCAGGGCAATGCATTCTAGAAGTGGGGTTCTGCTCCCCAAGTGATGGGTACTCTCTGAGGTCGTAATCACCATGGAGAATTCATGGCTCAAGAGGCAGTAAAGCCAAGGAAGTGAGAGAGGAGACGTCAGTTTAGAGAAAAAGCTCTTCAAAGGCAAAACTAGTTCTCAAGAAGAAATGGTAGCAGTGGTTTAGAAAGCTTGAGTAATGTGTGTGTTGCGATGCTGGCAGTGAGTAGGGGGTGGAGAGAATAAAAGCTGTTTAATACAGTAATTAAGAGCCCACACATAAAGTGGAGGACCCAAGTTATAGTCCTAGTTATGCCAGTTAATAACTGAGGGACCACGGACAAATCACAACTTTTCTAAGCCTCAATTATCACATGTGCAAAGAGGTGGTGATACCTACTGCTGAGAGTGTTATGAAGATTACAATAAAAAAATTCACATAAAATGCTCAGCATAGTTTATCTGACTCATGATAAGCACTCAACAAATGGTAGACATGAAGGAACCAAAAAACAAAAGTGATAGAATGTTTTCCTGCCTTATAAAAACAATATAAGCTTTTGGTTGGACACCATGGCTCACGCCTGTAATCCCATCACCTTTGGAGGCCAAAGAGGGAGAATCGCTTGAGACCAGGAGTTAGAGACCAGCCTGGGCAACACAGCGAGACCTCATCTCTATAAAATAAAATAAATAATAAATATAAATTTAAAAACAATATAAACTTTTAATTTTCACTACTCTGTACCCAATTTACCCAACTGGGTAAATAGAATCTCAGAGTAAAACTGCAAGTATTTCTATGAAATGAACTTTGGATTTTCCAGATTACAGATTTTAAGGAATTAAAGGCAGGGATTATACAATATGGAACAACTTACTATCTTTAAGATACAAATTAGAACACAGAATACTATAAAGGAAATTAAAATCACCTGTAGTTTCATTGTTCGGAGTCAGTTACTATTAGTACATTGCTATATATCCTTTCCATCTTTCTTCACATTCCAAGATTTCCACACATGAATAGTATCTTTTTTATATCAGCAAAAAACCCAACATTATAAAAAATTATTGAAATTTGGTATTTCAAATGGTATGGTAGATACTGGTATTTTAGGAATTTTGGTACAAAACTAGAGTCAAAACAAAGATCTATATTTTTCATAAGAAAAAGCCCTACAGGCCGGGCACAGTGGACTCACCCCTGGAATCCCAGCACTCTGGGAGGCAGGCAGATAGCCTGAGCCCAAGAGTTTGAGACTAGCCTGGGCAACATGGCGAAACTGTCTCTACAAAAAATACAAAAATTAGCCAGGCATGGTGGCATTAGCCTGTAGTCCTAGCTACTCAGGAAGCTGGGATGGGAGGATCACTTCAGCCTGGGAGGTCAAGGCTGCAGTGAGTGGTGACTATACCACTGTACTCTAGCCTGGGCAACAGAGTGAGACCTTGTCTCACAGTAAATAAATTAACCAATAAATTGCCCTGGAAACCACAGCTCAAATTAAAAATTCATATCAAAACAAAGAATGGCCTCCATATGGCACAAAAAGGGTCACACATTTTTAAGCATTTTATAGTAGGCCATCATTATAGGCATTATATTCTGGAAATTTCGTTTTGAAGAAAGTGGCTTACTGAAAAGGACTGTTGCATTCCAATGGTATTTTTTTTTCTAGGAAGGGAATTATTTCCATTTTTTAATGAGACCTTGGTATAGACTTGTGAACAATTTAACTGCTGTAAGTACTAAAAAAATATATCACCAACAGGAGTCACAGAAAACATACAAAAAGAGGTAAGAAAAATACCTAAATACCACAGGATGCCTTCCATTCTTGTGTTTCACAAAGATACCTTCAAGACACGCTCCAATGGATATGTCACTTCCTTGGCTATCCTAAAAGGAGAAAGCAAAAGAAGAAACACCCAGGAAGCAGATGCCGAGGAACTGCTGCTACAGAGTTCCCTGGACTGGCTTCCCAGATGCAGAAAGTTCAGAAGACCTACAGAGGAACTATGCAGGAAGACGAAAGTCTGAATGAGATCTATGATCTTACAGATATGTATAAAAATTGAAAAAGTTTGGCCCTCCTTAGGAACTCTATTTCAAGACCATTTCAAAGTATGAACCGCAAAATGGGAATGCGTTTTACCACAAAATTTTGGTCACCAGGACCTCGGCTTTTAAGTTTCCAGAGTTTTGCATGTCCTCAGCCTTTGCACATAAGGACATCTTTGGATTTCCCCACGATTTTCTCAAATCTGTGAGCCTAACTTTAAAGAACCCCAGCCACCGAGCCACACTTACCTTAGCAGGGTAGCTCTCTTCTCCATAGCCATCCATTCTCTCTACCTCCTGCATGTACAGCATTTCAGCATCAGGAGCTGCGAGCCCTCTGCAACCCAAAAGAAGCAAGATTGTTCACAAAGCAAGCTTAAAATGGTTTAAAATAAAGCTTTTCTTAAAACCTATGTATCAATTTAGCATAGGACATTACAAACATTTCAAGTTTCTAAGCATCTATAATTGGTTATATCAATCTGTTGATATTTACTGAAAACCAGTATGTGTAAAGCACCGTACTGAATGCTGAGGGTATCACATGAGATCCTGCTCTCTATACGTAAGGCAGATGACTGGGAAGGTAGGGGATAAAAAAACTTCCTAAAAAAATCTTCAGGTGAAATCTTGAACTTTTCTTAAATCACCAAGTAATTGCTTATTATCCCAAATATCAGGGCTGGGCACGGTGACTCATGCCTGTAACCCCAGCAACTTGGGAAGCCAAGGAGAAAGGACCACCTGAGGCCAGCAGTTTGAGACCAGCCTGGGAAACATAGTGAGACCTTGTCACTACAAAAAAAAAAAAAAGTTTAAATTAGCCCGGCATGGTGGTGCACATCTATAGTCCCAGCTGCTTGGAAGGTTGAGGTGGGAAGACTGCTTGAACCCAGGAGTTCAAGGATGCAGTGAGCTATGATTGCTCCACTGCACGCCAGTCTGGGCAACAAAAAAAAACACAAAAAAACAAAAACAAAAACAACAAAATATCAGGCATTACTGAGAATTATGTGCTAAATGTCGAATGCAGGGAATAAGGGTATGAGAAGGAGACATCAAAACCCCTTTTTGCTCAGGTGAGTGCAGCACTACTAGGATGGGTAGGAAGGCAGTGTGGGTACAGGAGGAGTGCCCAAGTGCATGCAGACTTGCATCTCCAGCCTCATCTTCCGATGCTCCCCTCTGTGCTCAAGGCACCCACACTGCAGCCATCCCAAACTCTGCATCTCTTCAGATAGAGTATGTTCCCTAGCCCCTCTGGGCTTTTGCACATGAGAACCCCTCTTCTTGGTATGCCTGTGACTCACTTGTGGATCTGGCCAATCCCTAATATCCTTCAAAACTCTGTCTATGTATCATTTCCTCTGGGTCACCTTCTGGGATTCCCCAATGCCCCAATTCTGTGCAGTCCCAATACATTCCACCCATACCCCTCTACTGCACTCATTATCTTCTTATATGTGTTATCATTACTATAGTGGGTTGTCCTGCCAGCCCTCATATTGCAGGGCTGGGAATGCACGCTTAGAAGACAAGAAATTATTCTATTTATCTTTGTGCCATAGCATCCAGCACTCTTACTCTGCCTAATACAAAGAACACTAAGCTATCTTTTAAGGAAATGCACAAATGAATAAATGGAAGTGACAAAGGCAGGGCAATGTGTGCCTGAGGGATCAATTAAGCTAGAAAAGAAATGGTTCATGTGGACAGCAGAAGGTAAAGCTGGGAAGGCAGGATTTAACCAATTTATGGGAGGCCTTTAATCCCAGAGTAATGAACTCAGGCTAGCAGGAAGCGTGAAAATACCCACAAGCACGTGGAAGGAGAAGGAGAGGGGTAAGAGGAAAGTGATATGCTAGGGAGATTAATCTTTTGTGAGCCACCGTGTGGATTTGAGTGGAGAGAGACTAGAGGCAAAAGGTTATTTTATTTGGAAGGTGATAAGCAATAGGTTCTAACGAAACTGACCTGCTTTCAATTCCCACCTTTACCACATGTAGAGGTAACTAAATCTTTTTTTTTTTTGCTCTGTCACCAGCCTGGAGTGCAGTGGCACGATCTCAGCTCACTGCAATCTCTGCCTCCCGGGTTCAAGCAAATCCCCTGCCTCAGCCTTCTGAGTAGCTGAGACTACCAGTGTATGCCACAACATCTGGCTAATTTTTTGTATTTTAGTGGAGACAGGGTTTCATCATGTTTGCCAGGATGGTCTCGATCTCCTGACTTCGTGATCTGCCCGCCTCAGCCTCCCAAAGTGCTGGGATTATAGGCATGAGCCACCGCTCCCGGCCAGAGATAACTAAATCTTTTTGAGTTTGGTTTCCCCATCTGTAAGATGGAGATAATAATGTTTATCTTAATGAGTAGTTATAAGAATTTAATGATAGAGTACAGATAGTCCTCAACTTATGATGGTTCAACTGAATGACTTTTCAACTTTACAATGGTACAAAGGTGATACAAATTCAGTAGGAACTGTACTTTGAGGACCCGTACAACTATTCTGTTTTTCACTTTCAGTACTGTATTCAACAAATTATATGAGATATTCAACATTATAAAATATATTACAGGCTTTGTGTTAGATGATTTTGCCCAACCGTATGCTGATGTAAGTGTTCTGAGAACAGGTAGGGTAGGCTAGGCTAAGCTATGATGTTCAGCAGGATTGGTCTATTAAATACATCTTGACTTACAGTATTTTCAACTTACTATGGGTTTATCAGGACTTAACCCCATCCTAAGTCAAGGAACATCTGTATGTGGAACTGTGTGGTAGTTGGTTTAGAATGAAACCTAGAATTCTCTAGAAGAGTATTTTTTCTTACAGGCAACACAGAGATTCACCATGAAAGAATGTCAATATGTACAAGTATACAAAGGTATGCAGAAGCATAGTTCAGAGTACTAAGCACCATAGTTCTTAGCGTAGTTCCCCAGATGACAGACACAGCTTCCATAGGTATACAGAGGGAAGTAACCCTGGACTTGCTAAGCTGTATCATAAAAGAAAACAAATCATCCTAATTTTACATTAACCTATACAGGATGAGGTTATCAAATAAACCTTTACTATACACAATAAAAAATGGGCACCCTTCAATGACTGGCTGCTTTCAACTTCCTCAGTGTCCTCACTGGTAAAAAAGGACAATAAATGAATAATATGGGTAAGTGCTTACTTAGAACAGTACATGGTACATAGTGAGTACTATGTAAATGTTGGCTACTTGTAATAGCAGCGGCAGTAATGTTCCAAATTTAGTTGGGCAAATACATATTAATCATGTAAATTAAATATTTAATTGAATATTTCAAATTTAAGCAGACATTGGTTCCATGCTATTTCCATGTCTTATTTCTTAGAGTTACCTGTATTTCTGATGTAGTAAGGCCACTTTTTGGGTTGCTTCTTCCAATACTTTTTCATCTTGTAACCATCCCTGAAGAAAACACACAGTGGTAAGTATGTGAAAATTCACCCAAATTTCTTAGAAGGAATCATGGCCATTGACTGTTAATGACTCTCGTCACTATCTGGCAAAATTATGACTATTGTTAATATATGGGAGCTTTGCTTACATAGGTAATCACCTTTCTAAGGAATTAAGTGGCTTCTTCACAGGAGCCCAAAAACAAAAAACAAACAAAAAAAAACTTGCCCCACCTTCTCAATTCACCCCTGGGAAAGTTTCAGCTGAGTTATTTCAAGTTGGTGACAGTAGTCAGCCAGTCCTGAGCCCAGCAAGATAAAAACATCTTGTGTGTTCTCTGACTGGCTGTGTAGACACTCAGAAGAGCATGCCACACCTTCCTTAGTTGTTGCAATGCAGTTTCTATGTCCCTTCCATCAGTAATGACTTTATAAAAGTAGAAGGCAGTGTCTTTGTCATCTACTTTTTAAATTGCTGATGAGAAGTGACATTCATTCCTCAATATAATTTTGTAAGGTTTCAAACCTTCAGTTAAAAGCAAAACCTGCGCCTTCCTGAGAAGCTGAAAATGAATCCTTCTTTTTAAACTCACATTCAAATAGAAAACAAATATCTCCAGGCACAGTGCAGTCACTACAGACCCTTCAGTTTCTGTGGGTTCACAAGGACCAAGATGACTACAACGGAGAAAGCAGTCACACTTGAGATGTTTATAAGAGGGAATTTTTTTTTATAATCCTATTCCTGACAGTAAGTCTATCATACGGATTTCATTTCAGGGATTATTAAGGGTATAGGAATGAACTGTTTGTGTTAAAAAGCCCAGTGTCAAAAGAAGTCTTACCACAGGAAACAAGGCAAATTTCTGAAGAAAGTCCTGGGATTCATACTGATCAAAGTCACCAAAATCAGCTATATAGAATGACAAAAACTCACGTTAATTATATTTAAATTTCATTGCAAAATATGCGCAACAAAATTCAACATGCAGTATATATAGATGGTATGCTAATATTTCAGAAGTCAAATTTTTTATAACTATAAAAAGTATATTTTAAAAGTATCTTTTTAAAAATGTTAATTAGGTAGACATGAGTCTTGGCTTGGAAAAATGCCTATGAATTAAATAAAAAAACAAGTTGCAAGCTATATGTAATATGATCTCATTTTTATAGTTAAAATGCAAACAAAACCTACCCTGTAATCATATATGCTTGCTTATGTACAGAAAAATGTCAAGGAGAAACCAAATTGTCAACAGTAGTGATGAAATGGACTTAGACCACTTGAATATATTACAGCAAGATATATTTGTTTTGAAATTTTTATTTTTTTTAAAAAATTGACAATTCAGCAAAATGTTTATGAAAAAGTAATTCTTAAAGCCAAAAAGGATACTTAAGAAAATCCAAAGTACCTTGAAAAGGAATGTGGCTCTATGTGCATCAGGCATTTGTTTAAAAATGATGCATGTCTCCATGCCTGCTAATAGCTGAAGGAGTTTTATTAATAATTATTCTGATTAAATTTCACTCCCAAGGCGAAATGCCAGTAATTGTTTGAAATAATGCCCTGTCAGAAACCTTCCCGGCCGGGCTGGGCGCGGTGGCTCAAGCCTGTAATCCCAGCACTTTGGGAGGCCGAGACGGGCGGATCACGAGGTCAGAAGATTGAGACCATCCTGGCTAACACGGTGAAACCCCGTCTCTACTAAAAAATACAAAAAACTAGCCGGGCGAGGTGGCGGGCGCCTGTAGTCCCAGCTACTCGGGAGGCTGAGGCAGGAGAATGGCGGGAACCCGGGAGGCGGAGCTTGCAGTGAGCTGAGATCCGGCCACAGCACTCCAGCCTGAGCCACAGAGCGAGACTCCGTCTCAAAAAAAAAAAAAAAAGAAACCTTCCCGGCCAGGCACAGTGGCTCATACCTATAATCCCAGCACTTCAGTAAGCCAAGGAGGAAGGATAGCTTGAGCCCAAGAGATAGCAAGACCCTATCTCTACAGAAAAGTTTAAAAATTAGCCATGTATGGTAGCGCACACCTGTAGTCACAGCTACTTGGGAGGCTCAGGTGGGAGGTTCACTTGAGCCCAGTAGGTTCTGGCTGCAGTGCCCCACGATCACATCACTGCACTCAAGCCTGAGCAACAGAGTAAGACTGTCTCCAGAAAAAAGAAAATACACACATACATGTAAATACATGTATATTAGACATGTAAAAATAAAAAAAATAAACAATTCAAAAATGCTGGTGAAATGCAGAATCTTTATTTATATATGTACATTTTAAAGATAAGGTCTTGCTATGTTGCCCAGGCTGGTCTCGAACTCCTGGACTCAAGCAATCTTCCCACGTTGGCCTCCCAAAGTGCTGGGATTAGAGGCATGAGACACCACACCCAGCCATCTTTATCTATTATGATTGATGATATTATTGCATAATCCAGGACAACCATTTAAGAAACCAAACAAGTGGGAGTGCGGTGAGGGATAAAAGACTATACATGGGGTACAGGGTACACTGTTCAGGTGATGGGTACACCCAAATTTCAAAAATCACCACTAAAGAATTAATTCATGTAACCATGGCCAGGCACAGTGGCTCACACCTGTAATCCCAGCACTTTGGAAGGCTGAGGCAGGTGGATCACCTGAGGTCAGAAGTTTGAGACCAGCCTGGCCAACATGTTGAAACCCTATCTCTACTAAAAATACAAAAATTAGTTGGGTGTGTGGGGTGGCAGGTGTCTGCAATCCCATGTACTCGGGAAGCTGCGGCAGGAGAATTGCTTGAACCCAGGAGGCGGAGGTTGCAGTGAGCCGAGATCATGCCACTGCACTCCAGCCTGGTCCATAGAGCGAGACTCCATCTCAAAAAAAAAAGTAACTAAATAAATAAGAACTTATTCATGTAACCAAACACCACCTGTTCCCCAAAAACCTATTGAAATAAGTAAATAAGAAGAAACCACACAAATGAAGTGTACTTAAACTATAAGTGAATATAACCTCATCAAACTCACTGACTGGCATATCTTTCTTCTTAAAATATGACCTATTAGCAGATAAAGTCTTTGAACTAGATGAATACATAGCATAGTATTAATAAATGTGTATGTATATAGTCATATGTCACTTAATGATGGGAATACGTTGAGAAAGGCATCATTAGGAGATGTGCAAACATCAGAGTATACTTACACAAACCTAGGTGATGTAGCCTACTACACACCTAGGCTATACTGTATAGACTATTGCTCATAGAAGCCTATACCGCATGTTACTGTACTGAATACTGCAGGCAATTGTAACACAATGATATTTGTGTATCTAAACACAGAAAAGGTACACTAAAAATATAGTGTTATAATTTTATGGGACGACTGTCCTATATGAGGTCTTTTGTTGACCGAAACGTCATTTGGCATGTGATTGAATATATGTGTGTGTATACTTCTATTTATTGTACTGTTTGCTCTGTTGACATATAACATGATTAACTTCCAGAAGTCTCATATTTCATTGAGGTATTCCAAGTTCATTTTTTCCCAAAAGGAAGCCCCTTAGATAACAGAATATTTCGCTAATATATAAATACTACTAAAGATGTATATAGACAGTCAGTTAACTTAAAAATCCCTTGCTATTTTGTTGCAACACATTTTAATCTGATAGAACTATTTCATTATGAATTGATCTTATTTACCTTGAACAGCTAAGCCTGCTAGCTGAATTGCTTGTTCTAAGGTACAAGGAATACTTCCTTCCAAGATATCTTTCTTCAGTTGCAGATAATACTGATACCTATTAAAAAAAATGTCAGTTTTATAAGGTCAATGTCAATATTATCTCATTGAGACACAATGCATTTAACCATAATTTGGTAGAGAAGCATAAACCAGCAAAACAAAACCTTAATCCTACTTTTTTTTTTTCCAGATAGGGTCTCCCTCTGTTGCCCAGGCTCAAGTGCAGTGGCATGATCACTGCTCACTATAGCCTCGACCTCCCTAAGCTTAGGTGATCCTCGCACCTCAGCTTCCTGAGTAGCTGGGACTACAGGTGCACACCATTATGCCTGGCAAATTTTTCTATTTTTTGTAGAGATGGAGTTTCACCATGTTGTCCAGGCTAGTCTCAAACTCCTGGGCTCAAGTAATCCTAGTGCTTGGATTCAAAATGCTGGGACTACAGACATGAACCACCATGCAGAGCCCCTAGATGGTTTCAAACAAGGATGACAAAGTCCTCAACCATATGACACTTACACATACACTTTAATCAATCTAATGAGTTACTTATCCTAGATTATAGTTATTTCAAAACTAAAACGATCCTATAAGACAATTAGTCATCTGCTCCATGCCCTGTAAAACAGTCCCTACAATTTCTTTTTAGTTGGAGAAATGAAAAGCCAGTGGCCAATCTTTACTTTAAAAACTGACTAGTAACTTGGTAATATAAGACTTTGCTTACCTTGTTTGGTGGAAGTTCCCTAGCACTGGAAAGTAAAGCCAGAGAAAAATGGATTCTGAAATTTCAGACCAGGCTGATATTAAAATATTTCTGATAAAATCCCTCAAAACAGCTGTTAAGATGCTTTCTTAATATCTGGTAATGCGGGTTTACTTCTGTTTACCACCCTGTTTGTACTTTCAATATATACGGCATCAGTTACCAGAACAAGGTTTAGAGTCAAGCAGACTTGAACTCTCCAAATTAGTATTCTGCATGAACTTGGGCAAGTCATAATCTGTGAATTCAAATTCTATCACCAGTAAAATGAGGGTATCATCACCCCTTCACAGGACTGAACATATTCCAATAATAATATATGTAAACGACTAAGCGCATAGCCGGCAAATAGCAGCTGTATCAATCACGTACTTGAAGCCACTCACTTCTCCATTTTGATAAAACTCTAGGGTGAAGATTTACTACTTCCTTTTATTTATTTGCTCAACAGGTAATTACTGGGGTCTACTATATGTTAAACATTATTCTAGATGCTGGGGATACAGTGCTAAATGGAGATCACTCCATAGACACTCTGCCAGAGCAGTCTATGGAGCCATCTGGAATCCAAAATGTCCTCCATATTTGGTGCCTGTGAAGTGCAACCCAGTTACAGTTCATGTTTGAATTCCTCTGAGAGCCCACCCCTTTAATCATTTCATATGAGTCTTTGTCATCTTATTTCAGCCACAGACATGTAAACCTCTGTTCTTTATTACCGAAGAACCTGACCAAAACACCATCCATTCAAATAAGAATTTGGATCCACCTTTTCCCCTTCCACCTGCTAACAGCCAAACCCATGCATGGATTTCCCTCCATTAGCTAATGGGATGCTGGCAGTTGTGGGATCCATCAGACAGAAAAACTTGAGATTTTCTATAAAGCAGCTCTTTTCAAAAGCTTATCTGAGGAAGACTGTGTTCAGGGAAGTCTGTCTATTGAACATGCTGTTCACAGATTCCATTCTAAATATTCTCGGCCTTTTCCTTAAATCAAAAACACTAGAAAGGGCCAGGTGAGGTGGCTCACACCTATAATCCCAGCACTTTGGGAGGCCAAGGCGGGTGGATCACTTGAGGTCAGGAGTTGGAGACCAGGCTGGCCAGCATGGTGAAACCCCATCTCTAGTAAAAATACAAAAATTAGCCAGGTGTGGTGGCACACACCTGTAGTCCCAGCTACTTGGGAGGCTGAGGCAGGAGAATCACTTGAATCCAGGAAGCGGAGGTTGCAGTGAGCTGAGATGGTGCCATTGCACTCCAGCCTGGGCATCACAGAGAGACTCCGTCTCAAAACAATAAACAAAAAACATGAAAAGCAATATACTTGAACCCAATTAATGTAGCCTTCCACAGCCTTACATTGCACTGTTATGAGAATTGATTCTTTCATATTTGCTTTAACTTATTCATTTCTGGTTCAATGTCTTACATAAAATCACACCTGAAAGTTTCTGTTTAAATAATATACCAGGAAAATGTGTCATGCTTGCAAAGAGGTGTGCTTCTTTGTGTTACATAATGAATGATGGAACTCAGATTTCTTCTTTTGCTTTGGCTGCCATTAAGCTCACAGCTAAAATCCAGGCATAGTCACAATCATTATTATCCCTCTTAATTGCTTTCTCCACTATTTAATAATAGCTACCTTTAAGTGATGAAGAGCTGGAGCTCAGAGATTAAGCAACATGCTCAAATGCATAGAGCTAGACTGAGATGGAGTTTGAATCCCCAGGTCTGAATGACCCAAAGGTCTTGTTCTTAACCACGACAAATCTACAGTTATAGATGTTTCTAGTATTTTTATTCATTTAGTATTTTACACGACAGTCCACAAAACACAATGGTTGAGAGCAAGGACTCAGGAGCCAGCCTGCTTGAGTCCCAATTCCAGTACATACTAGCAGTGTGACCTTGGGCAAGGTGTTCAACCCTTCTGTGTCTTGGTTTCCTCATCTACAAAAGAGATAATACCACCTATGTCATAGGATTTGTTATGAGAATTAAATTAATAAAGTACTTGGGACAGTGTTTAATATACAGTAAAAAACCTAAGTGGTTGTTACTATATGTTATTGTATTATCCCTCAAATCCTTTAATGGAAGCAACTAGGGATGGATGAATGGATGGATGGATGGATGGATGGATGGATACACAGACAGATAGTTTGTTTTTTTTTTGAGACAGCCTCTTGCTCTATAGTCCAGGCTGGAGTGCAGTGGCATAATCATGGCTCACTACAGCCTCAACCTCCTGGACTCAAGTGATCCTCAAGCCTCAGCCTCCTGAGTAGCTGGGACCACAGGTGTACACCACCACACCTGGCTAAATTGTTTTTAATTTTTTATAGAAACAGGGTCTCTCTATGTCGCCCGGGCTAGTCTCAAACTCCTGAGCTCAAGCGATCCTCCCACCTCGGCCATCCAAAGTGCCTGGATTACAGGCATGAGCCACTACACCCAGCCATAATATGTTTTTCTTAAAGAAGTATTTACTGTAGGAGCAGATGGCCAAGAAATTTCACCTCAATGGCATTATCACTTCTTGCTAAAATTTCTATATATTGGTGGGGCTGAAGATGGCTTATAAATATGTTATTTCAATATTTTTGCAGGCCGGGTGCAGTGGCTCATGCCTGTAATCCCAGCACTTTGGGAGGCCGAGGCAGGTGGATCATGAGGTCAGGAGATTGAGATCATCGTAGCCAACATGGTGAAACCCCATCTCTACTAAAAATACAAAAATTAGTTGGGCATGGTGGTGAGCACCTGCAATCCCAGCTATTTCAGAGGCTGAGGCAGGAGAATCGCTTGAACCTGGGAGTCGGACGTTGCAGTGAGCCAAGATCACGCCACTGCACTCCAGCCTGGCAACCGAGCAACAAGAATGAAATAATAGGAAAAAAACAAAGCAGTAATAAAATGTAACACGCAGACCTGAATTCAAAACTGTCAGCCAAGGAATAAAAGAAATTGCACATTTTAATTCAAAAGCAAGTATTCCATAAACTTGCCCGAAAGTAAAAATATGCTGATCAAATATTTTATCTAAATCTTTATCAAGTTACTGATCAACTTTCCAATATAAAATATTTCATACAATATATGACAAGAATTATATAATAAATTAGGTGACCCCATTTTGCACAACAGAAATTCCAAATAATGTATGAAGAGGCAGCTTTTTCTCTTCATCTGTTTTTCTTAAGACTAGTAATAGAAGACAATGTGTAGGCATTGGCATTTTTATTTTTTAAGTTTTATTTTGGAAATTCTGAAATATATGTATAGACATTAATTATAGTGACCCCATCTCCTTATCATGGTGCCTCACCCATCAACCTTATGCCTACCACGTTTTCTCTATCCATCCTCTCCTGTGCCCCTCCACCACCAGTGTTTTACAGCAAATCCCAGACGTCATGCCACCTGTACTTCAGTACATATCCCTAAAAGGTAAGCTTTATTTTTTAAAAACGTAACTACATTTTTATTACACCCAACAAAATGAACATCTTTATACTGAGTACTCAATACCTGATTCATATGCAATTTTCATGATCGCCTCAAAAATGCATTTTTACAATTTTCTTAAATTAGAATCCAAACAAGGTCTACGGATTACATTTAATGGATAGTTCTAAATCTCTCTTGCTATAAAAAAGAAAGTTTTTATTCCCTTTTATTTTCATGTTATTAACAGAAATGGAGCCATTTGTCATGTAGAATTTCCTACCTTCTGGACTTTTGTGATTGTAGTCTCATGGGGTCATTTGGCTAGTTTACATGCTCTCATATTTTTCCTGAAAACTGATCATTAGATTTAGAGCAGCACTGTCTAAAAGAACATTCTACAGTGATAGAAATTATCTGTATATGCGCTGCCCAATATAGTAGCCATTAGCCACATGTGGCTATTCAGTACCTGAACTGTAGCTAGTGCAAGAAAAATTTTAATTGTATTAATTTTAATTAACTATAAATAGCCACATATAGCTAACAACTACCTTACTGAACAGTGCAGACTAGAGGCTTGCTTCCATACAAGTTCATTTTAGTCATTTAACCTGGTGGTGCCTGGTACTTCCTGATGCATCACATCAGAAGAAATGGTATTTGGTTGTCCCACTTACAGTGATGCTGACATTGCCCACTGAGTTCAGATGATGCCAGCCTGTTCCTTTTACCCAAAGGTTTTAGCCAATACTGATGATTGTTACCTCTTTATACAATCTATAAAGATAGGATAAACTTACTGCCATTCAGAATAATGTATTGTATTCTAGTAAGTTTCAAAGATGACCAATGAGGTTATTTTTTTTAAGTATTATGAATTTGTGAATTTTAAAAGATATATTCGATGTGTTTCAATTCATGCAGTTGTATTCTTTTTTGTTTGTTTGTTTTATTTTGTTTGAGATGGGGTCTCACTGTCGTCCAGGCTGGAGTATAGTGGCACAAACTCAGCTCACTGCAACCTCTGCCTCCCAGGTTCAAGCGATTCTCCTGCCTCAGCCTCCTGAGTAGCTGGGATTACAGGCATGCACCACCATGCTCGGCTAATTTTTGTATTTTTAGTAGAGACGGTGTTTCACCATGTTGGCTAGGCTGGTCTCAAACTCCTGACCTCAAGTGATCCACCCACCTCGGCCTCCCAAAGTACTGGGATTACAGGCGTGAGTCACCGTGCCCAGCCTAGTTGGTCAAAATTATGATGGTCAAAATTTCCAAGCTTTGTGCAGTGGCAGTATCGTAGCCAGTGAGGTTCAAATGAGGCACAATTATTGATGATTGAAACAAAATTTCCTCTTTTGCAAGTAAGAACTCCAGGCACCAGAGTGTTTGTTCGCTCTGCCATGTGAGGACCCAGCCGGAAGTTCTGCAAGCCAGGAAGGGAGCCCTCATGAGACCTCAACTATGCTCAGATCTCCAAACTGAGAAAATACATCAGCTACTCAGTCTATAATATTTTGTTATGGCAGCTCACACTAAGATATATTCACAGGTCGTTTTTGCTAGATATATAATCATTGCCTCCTATTTCCTTTCCTTGAGGATGTTAAATGTTACTTTTTTGTCCGTTGGCATGAAGTGTTTTTCCAGAAGTCTGACACCAATCTTATTTTCTTAATTTTATAACAACTTTAGTCTAGATGCCCAATTTCTGGTGACTCTGCAGAATGTGTTGGCACTGATTGCTCTGGACTGACCATGCCAGGTACACAGTACGTCTTTTCAATACAGAGCTTCAAGTCATTTTCCTTTCAAGGAAGTTTTTAAAATGTGTTATAGCTAGAATATAGAATTTGTTATATAGTTTTTGGAATTTGTTCTTTGCCAATGTTTTGACTTAGATCATACTGTTAGAAGAATGTTTTGGCTTTTTCCTTTGGGGAATCCTATTACATCTATTTTTTAATCTTCTATACTTTTATAGTTTCTATCATTTCAAAATTTCTAATTGTTTTTGCAGCTATTTTCATATTCACCCGTTACATAGCCAAATTATTCCCAAGCTTTTCTAATTCAGATTTAAATGGTTCTTTCATATCATCTGTTATTTTCTTAATTTTTAAAGTTCATTTTGTAGTATTAGGTGCCAGTTTTCTGCTGCTTTGTGGTTGTATTTTTCTGTTAAGTCTGCACTTTCTAAAGGTGTATTAATCAGATTGTTATTCTCCCCCTTTGTTTTCTTTTTTCTTTTTCGAGACAGAGTTTCACTCTTGTTGCCCAGGCTGGAATGCAGCAGTGCCAGCTCAGCTCACTGCAACCTCAGCCTCCTGAGTTCACGCAATTCTCCTGCCTCAGCCTCCCGAGTAGCTGGGATTACAGGCGTGTGCCACCACACCTTGCTAATTTTGTATTTTTAGTAGAGACAGGGTTTCTCCATGTTGAGCAGGCTGATCTCGAACTCCCGACCTCAGGTGATCTGCCCCCCCTAGCCTCCCAAAGTGCTGGCATTATAGGTGCAAGCCACCACACCCGGCCCTCCCGCTTTGTTTTCTTACAATATCTTTGAGTGGGTTTTTTTAAAACACCGTTTTTGAGGTATAATTGGCATACAAAGAAGCTGTTCAAATTTCAAGTTGACAATTTGGACACATGCATACATCCATGAAACCATCACTACAAGATGAGGAACATACCACCTGCAAAAGTTTCCTTGCACCCCTCATAATCTGTCTCTCCAATTCCTACCTTATTCCTAGGAAACCACTCATCTGCTTTCTGACTATGGATGTGACAGACAGAACTCTGGATATCTTGGACCAAAAGGTAAACCTAGTGCATGGGAAGGACACACTGAGGATACTGGAGCACTAAAAGAAAGAGCGAGCGTCCGTGAAGACTCTGTGGAGCTGTCAGACAAGCTCTGCAAGGCTGACTTCTGAACTTCTCTCACAGAAGTCAATGATATTTAGAGTTTTTGTTATATATAGCTATACTTAATCCTTACTGATACAACTTCTCTATCAGGCGCTCCTATACCTAATCAATGAGCAATCCTACTGATTGACTCTAATAGGCCCATTCTCTCTCAATACAGCTAATGCCTTTCTGTTCAGTTCTATATTGTAAACCTACGCCTAGATTATGGCACAGGTATTCCTAAACTGGTCTCCTGCCTATAGTCTTGCCATCTCTGCTTCTATGATGGGTGATCTTTGTAAAATATAAATTTAATGATTCCATTAAATTTGAAAATCTCTTCCTCATTGTACCATGACTTTATTGCTATGCCTATTTTTTAAATCTCCTTTCTAAGTAATACCTGAAACTTCCTGAAGACATGTAATCATTTTGATTACTTCCCCTGCTTTGCAAAAACTATTCCCTCTAGAACATTTCTAAAGTCAATTTAAATGCCAGTCTCTCTACCTTTCCTGTTCAAGTTCCCCTTGCCCCACCCCTAGGAATCCACAGCTTTAATTAAAGCATTTATTATCATAGGATACTGTAACTATTTATATGAACTGCCAATTCCAACAGACTGTGAGCGGCTCCTCCAGGGTGGGATTAAAGCATATTCACCTCCCACTCTATTCAACACAGTTCTTAAGAGCGTATCTTCTGTAAATGTTTAAATGAGTTAAAGTGATCAGTTCAGGCTTTTTCCTTCTGGTTTCCATTTTCTCTTCATTATTTCTATCTCAGACTTTTACAGTCAGTTTGTGTTTATCCCTACCACTGGATCCTTACTGCTTTGACTTCCCATTCTCTCCTAATCATTAACTGGCAGACTCAAACAGCACTCCACAAACACGAGACAGTACCAGGTTCTCACTGTCTGCAAGGTACTGTGTAAGATATCATTAAGTAAAGCTAAAGAAAACAAAGGCTTAAAACCTAGGAAAAAGATACCTGCAAAATCCTAATAATAGGGTATGACAATTACCATCTTAACACAAGTAGAATCAAATTCTAGGTCGTAAGCCAAAACTCATTCTGTCCTGGGGTCATAGATGCTTCATGGAGGAGGTACCTTCTGAACCACAACTCAGGAGGCAAACAGGATTCCATGTGAGAGAAAGATCTAGGACACAAAGACGAAAGGGCATGCGGTATGTTTCGGGCCCTTGAAGTAGCTCAGCTTGGCTCAAAAGTAACATTAAATAGGGTTAAAAAGATAAGGCAGTGATGGGATTCAGAGAACTTTGAAAACCACGCTCAAGAACTCAAATTTTATTCCTTTTTTCGTTGTCTTCAGGGGGAAAAAGAACAAGAACACTTAGTTCCTCTATTCTGCTCCTTAATTATCATCTTCCCTTTCTGCTTTTGTCCCTATTAAGTGCACTTATCAGTCAAAATTTCCTGATCTTAAACACTTCCCTCCCTCTCCTCTGTACTCCCTCCCCAACCTGTCTACAGAATATAGCTAGAGGAAGAGAATTCTAGGAGCCTTTCAGCACATTTCATTGAGGAATGAACACAGATTTTATGACTAATTTTCTAAAATATCTTCTCTCCTTTCCTAATTACAAAGGATCAGAAACAACAAAAACATTAAAGGTAATATCACTACAGGAAGAGTGCACAGCTAGGGTAAATCCATCATTTTTCCCTTTAATTATTCCTTTGTGCCTACTGAACCCATAAGTTACCCAACACGTAGTAAAACACTCTGACATGCCACATATGAGAACCTCTTTGTAATACCGTAGCTAAAAATGTGGGGCGAGAGGCAAAGTTTCAAACTTATCTTCTGACTTCAACCTTAGTTTCGCTTTTTACATCTCACTAGACTATTTCCTAAAAACAAATGGCATGTAATTTCTCACCTGGTAATCTCCTGCTGCAGCTGAGAAACTGAAGGCACATAAAACACCACTCCAAAATAGACGGTTGGTTCCAATGCATATTTATCCAGCTGCTTCTTCAAAGGTTTTTCCAAATCTACCCACCGGCGCTGATTTTGCTTGTTGTAGTACCAAAGGCTGAAGTAAGTGACCTGGAAAGACAGAAGGTCACTGAAGGAGGCAATAACATACAAAAGGATTTCAATGACTTCAGCCGCACTAATCCCTGACCCATGACCAAATGACAGCAGTCTCTTATTGCCTTTCTTCTCAGAGAGGAACAACAGCAAAAACTGAAGGAAAAAAAGGAGGTAAGACCTATCTGTAACTAGCTACTCATATTCAGGAAACAGAGGCAAAAACCCAATTGCACTTGCATATCATTTACTGAACTCTGCCCCCAAAAAATGCATTCACGACCTAGACACTGGAATGTAGTGGGTGCTACTCAATTTTATATGCAGGTTTTAAAAACAACAAAAATACAGAAGAATTTATCCTTGGTTTTTCAATTACTAAAACACTAAATTTGTCATATATATGTATATATACGTATATATACATGTATTTGTCATATTTATACGTATATACATACATGTGTTTATCATATATGTATATATGTACATTTATCATATATACACACATATACATATATATATGTATATACATATATTTGAGATAGTCTCACTCTGTTGCCCAGGCTACAGTGCAGTGGCGCAATCTCAGCTCACTGCAACCTCCGCCTCCCACGTTCAAGTCATTCTCCTGCCTCAGCCTCCATAGCTGCCAAGATTATAGCGCACCACCACACCCAGCTAATTTTTTGTATTTTTAGTAGAGACAGGGTTTATCATGTTGGTCAGGCTGGTCTCAAACTCCTGACATCAGCTGATCCGCCCACCTCAGCCTCCCAAAGTGCTAGGAATATAGGCATGAGCCAGCCACTGCACTCAGCCTCATAACTAATATTTTTAAATAATCATAACTGGGGTTCTACCCAGTGGAATGCTGAGTAAACAGTGTTAAACCAACTTTTCACTACTCTTAGTTTTGGTTTCTATAAAAGAAGTTATTTTATGTAAGTACCATGAATTCCAGTATTCAGTTCTAGTATTCAGATGCAATTGCAACTCTTCTTTACCCCTTTGTCCTCAAAATTTCATTAGATATACATTTAAAACAATTATAATGCTGTGGAGGTGAATTAACTCTCTCTACACACACACACACACACACACACACACACACACACACACTGCATGAGAAAAGCTATGACTAATGCAGTAAAATAACCTTAGTGTATTACTCAGAAATTTAAAGAAAATGCCCAGATGTCTTAGCATTTATATCTCACTGGCTGTGTAATGAAAACTGTTAAGGTAAATCAATACTAGCCCTGGGCCTGGTCAACCTGAAAGGGTATTAATACACTTATGTGACAGCCTCAAGCCACTGCTAATACTTGCCTCAAAATCAATCTACAGATAAAGACAATTGGAAAATCACCACTTTGTAGTTGTAAACTCCAGAATAACACTGTCCCAACAGAACTTAGTATGATGATGGAAATGATCTACATCTCACTGTCCAATAAAGCAGCCACTAGCCACATGTGGCTACTGAGCAATTGAAATGTGGTAGTGCCACCAAGGAGCTGTATTTTTAATGTTATACAAGTTTAATTGACTTAAATAGTTGCAAGTATCTAGTGGCTACTCTATTGGACAGTATAGATTTAAAGCAACAAGAAAACTGAGAAATAATAGGCCATTTCTTTGAACTGCAATCCTCATTCAAGTAAAAAATAAAACTTCAATTTGCAAGGGAAAAGATTATGCAAACATGCCCTCAATAGTCATTTTATTATTTTTTTACAAGGTAAGAACTATACCTTCAAAATGAGTTGATCAAATAAATTCAACAAGAATGAGGAATGTGCTCCTTTTCCCCTATATCCACAAGTCCCTAGAATACTGCTGGAATTCAACAAATTTTGTTGAATGAAAAGAAGGAATATTCTCTTGCTTCTTAGTTGCCACCCAAGTCATCACACAAGAATGGAATATTTTGAACATTTCCTATGTACCTGGTTCTATACCAAGAACTGTAGAGATACCATAGATTAAATCACCATCACTAATTTATGAAGTAGGTATTTTTTATCTGTGTAAAACCTCAAAGCCAGTGTGTTTCCCCCAAGTATTGTCCCTGGACTACCTCTACCAGAAGTACCTAGAGGGTTTCCTGGGCCCTAAAAAGTTTTAATCTCCTAGGTAATTCTTGTGTCCTTTAAAGTTGGATAACTTTGCACTACACTACACTGCTCCTCCAAAGTTATGCAAGAGAAAGTTATATAAAACCTTATCTTTGGCTGGGCGTGGTGGCTCACACCTGGAATGCCAGCACTTTAGGAGGTTGAAGTGGGAGGATTTCTTGAGCCCAGGAGTTTGAGACCAATCTGGGCAACATGGCAAAACACTGCCTCTGCAAAAAATACAAAAAATTAGCTGGAAGTGGTAGTGTGCGCCTGTAGTCTCATCTACTTGGCAGGTTGATCACTTGAACCCAGGAGGTAGACAGAGGCTGCAGTAAGCTAAGATTGCACCACTGCACTCCAGCCGGGGTAACAAAGTGAGACCCTGCCTTAAAAAAAAAAAAAAAAAAAAAA